CGTTTTTTTTTTTTTTTTTCCCCCCCCCCCCCCCCAGTTTGGATCAGAAGTTAGGTTTCCAGAATTTTGTATGAAGAGCACTTCAGTAAAGACATTCAGCACTTCACATCTAAGTTCTGTTAAAACAGAGCGACTATCGAGGAATACTGATGCTTTGCCAGAGGCAAGTATTATTCTTGATCTTTCTTTGAGCCGCTAGAATTCATCTGTTTTAATTTTCTGAGAAAACTAGTAATTGGGGAAACTTTAGTCAGAATTGAAAATTAAACATAAAAATAAATGATTGGATAAGATCGAGGAATACTTCTTTTCTTCATGTGTGTTCTCAAAACAGGTCCTTAAAATTTCATCTGTTTGTTCTTAGGAATGCGATACCAAAATTTTTTTCAAGTAGAAATTGTTCAATCTTAATACTCAAAAGAATATAATTTATTTATGAATTCTTCATTTATCTAACCTTTTCTACTTTGTTTTGAAAGTTTGTTGCTGTTTTGTGTTTTCCACTGGAAGTAGATACTTGATGGGAACTCCAGAGTTGTATTTGTTGATGAAAACAAAAATGTGTATTTATGAAAACTGATACCAGTTAAGAGTTTATTATTTTTATTGTTAAAATATGTTATTTTGGATTGCATTTGTCTATTCCTGGTAGATCTTATTTTTCTTTAAGTTTGGATAAGGGTTACAACTCGTTTGAAGCACATGGTTGACATTCTAGAAAGTAAGTTTTATTAAACAGAATGAAATACTTTTCTTGGTTTTTATATAATTATGTTTAATTGTGAAACGTTTTCTCTTTATGTTCCTTTACACATGTTTCGCATGTACTTGCAAGGCAAATGCCTCCGGCAAAACACTTGAGGAAGTTCTACTGAGATAACATCATATATAACATTACAGACCTTTTATTTGATCTCCTTTCAGGTTTTTCATTACTATGGTCCTGCACTAGAATTTTTACAGATGGTGGTGCTCTCTGATCTACCTTCCTTTTTTATATCTGATCTGGAATTCGAGCTGTATCCTTTTTTAAGGAACTAAACTACTACTGATAATGGTCTATAGCAGAAAGAAAACAATCAGGATCTACCCATGCAAACAACACGTGAGGATTGGTAAGGGCTCATTCTAGCCTGCCAAAATAGTAACAGTGATTCTTCACAACTGGATTTTTTTTTAATGTTGAAATTGAAATTACACTAACAATAACCAGCTATTTTTTACTTTATTGCACATATGCTTTGTCTGTTGATATGTATGCTATTTTGGGGGAAAGAATAGAGAAATATTTACTCCTGTGTAAATTTAAAAAAAAACCCAAGCCTTACTCATTAATATATGTAGTGTGCTTCACAATATAGAAACATTTTTCTATAAATCATGTTTTTATTGTGTAGGTGCAAAATACGTGGCAAGGTATAGCAGAGGAGTTTTCTCTCGAGTTGCGTGTGCTGCAGAGATCTCAAGGTGTATTCCTATTGGTTTTAATTTTATGTACTTTTGGTGCTGGTCTTGGTGTAACAATAGTAGCTTAGGCTGTATAAGCCTGCCAGAATTTTGAATATATAGATATCTGTTTATGCCTGCCTATATTAAAGATGCCAGTGGTGTATTTCATCATATAACATTTCTATGAGTACCACTCTGCATGGAAAGCTGGGTTTAATATGTTTTGTGGTACTGGAGTATCAAATATTAGACACTTGCAGTCCTTATTTGAAATATGATGGTAATATGATTTGTAAAGTAGTGGCGCATACAGTCCTTTGTGAAGATGAGGTTCCTTAAACTGTTCTGTTCAGGACCCTGGCGAGAAAGAGTATCAAGGAGACATCTACACTGCTTTTGGACCAGATTTCTTCTCTCTCTGGGAAGGTAAAAACTTCTTTTTATTTATGTATAGCAGAAAAATGGAGGTATGTATATTCCTCATAAAAGATACGAGAATAATATTTTTAAACCTAGTCTCTGTGTAAGCTCCTTCAATATTTAGTTCTAAAGCAAATTTGGCTTCTAAAGGTGCATGCTATACAGGTCCTGACAACTTGTAAGCCCACTGAATGTTTTTTTCTTTACCTTAGTTTGAGCTTTGATCTCCTAAAACATTGTGTAATTTTTAATCCTATCCTGACAGGTAATTTCTGTGCTATCATAATTCAACTATATTTTAGCAAAAGGCAGGCATGTGTGCAGCCTACAAAATATAACTGGCTAGTCTTAAGTGGTAAGCTTTTTTTGTTTTGCATGTGCATATTCTGCTTTTCCATTCTGATTTTGGATTAAATGAGTTCTTGAAACATTTACAGGCCTACTTTTTGTTCTTTTTCTTTTCACCCTTGGAATAATAGTATGACTATTCATAGCCACAGTATTAGTTTGAAGATGGTGATATATGCTTGTTTAGGAAAGTTTGTGGTTTGATGATTTTTTTTTTTTTTTAGCATTTATAAAATGCCAATCAAAACAGAGCCTGCAGTGAAAATGCTGTTATAACAAATTACTTACGTTCTTTATTTATGGTGGAGCTGGTGTTCCATTATCAGGCTATATGTTTCATCTTCAGCTTGCTCTTTTGGTTTTAGTAACTTTTTTCCTACCCTGCCACTTCATTCTCCATTATGCTTAGCCAGAAAAGAAAGAAGTCCTTTTTCTAATGCTGGACTAAAAAATATCTTCTGGAATAAGTTTATATTGGTAAACATCCCAGGTAATTTTCATTTTACATGAAGATGCTGAACATTTGGCCAAATATCAATCTAAGAGCTTGCCTTTCTACAAGTTCTTTTAAAGGAGAAGCCAAAAGAGTTAAAACAGATTTTCAGGCTACTTTTTAGAGTCTGCACATGTGGAATTGAATGTGTTTTCAAGATAACAATTTCCTGTAGGGATTTTTTTTCAGTCTTCATTCTATTTTTTATTTCAGTCTACATTTTTAATTTTTTATATTACACATTTGTAGGCTCTTCTAATAGCTGTAAAAGCATTGTTTTATTGCTTGAGTATTCAAACACTTGTGCATTTTTTCCTCTTAGTGCTTATTGGCCTGAAATTTACGTACAGACATAAACATAGTCCAGTATCTGATTAAATGAAAAGGATAATATGTAGGGAGGAAAAAAATTACATGCTTTTCAAAGGAATGCAGAGTTGCTGATGCCAACTATATCTTTTGAATTCTCTTTTCATTCTGGGTGCTACTCTACAGAAGTGTTTTTAGCTGGATTATTGAAAGACTTGTAATAGGTAACAAATAACCTTTTTATGTATGAAATAGAAATTTAGCAGTTAATTGTCTCTCGACTGGAGCAAAAAATAAGCACAATTTTTACAGCTTCTTTGTAAAATGCTGTTCCATCTCAATTGATGTGAATGACTCAATTGATCTGAAGTGCTAAGTGAATATGGTTTTCTTCAATTGAAGTACATTTGAAATGCCAAATCAGTAGCTCAAGAATGAAATGTAATACAGGTTTCAGTAATACTGCGTGTATTATATTTGCTCTCTTATTTAGGTGGGAGCTTTATTTACGTTGCCATGTAATGTAAGCAGCGTAGTGATCCCATCCCCTGCCCAGCTGAGTACCAAGAAATGGAAGGAATATATGGCTAAGAAACCCAAGGTCATTACTGGTAGGTAAAAGGAAGATGACTACACGTTTAGCTATATGTATATAGAATCATAGAATCATAGAATCACTTTGGTTGGAAAAGACCTTTGAGATCATCGAGTCCAACCTTTAACCTAACCCTGCCATCCCACCACTACACCATCTCCCTAAGCACCTCATCTATCCTTCTTTTAAATACCTCCAGGGAGGAGGACTCGACCACCTCCCTGGGCAGCCCATTCCAGAGCCTGACAACCCTTTC